CATGGCCGTCATGGAAGCCATGAACTCCCGAGCCACCTCAGACGTTTCACTGACAGATGGCAAGTTGAAATCACCCATGACTAAAAGCCTGGGTGTATCTACTGCCACCGTGGCTATCACGTCGAGTAGCTCAGGAAGGGCTGTTGCCACGCGGCAGGGAGCCAGGTACGTAAGCAACAAGCCCATCTGAACCCCACGGCCCCACCTCACAAGGAGGGACTCACATCCGGCTATCTGAGTTGATTTGATGCTGCCATTCAAAGGAATTGGTTTCAAATCAGATTTCCAAACTGAATCTTTCTGCAAATCCAAGTAGGTAACTGCACAACTGAAGAGAGGAAAAAATAATTTCAAGCCAAAATACTGATATTGCAAAGCTTCTCTCTAGCACTGCCATTATACACTTTGTATACACATAAACTTTTAGAACTGGCATTTTTTTCCCCCAGAGAAGCATCAATTTCATTTGGGAGAAACTTAGTGAATTATGACTCACCCAGTAAAGCCATGCTTTCTGGATCTTCGGTTCTGAAAGGCGCATCATGTCGCTTTCACCAAATATACTTAATCCTCAAAAGAATGAGTGTGTGTGTATTTGGGGTGAGGGGGGTGAAATCCTCCTCAGGCATACAAAACTTTTTTATTGTTGGCCTAAGAAAGCTTTTCAAATCCCCAAAGGCAGCTATCTATTTTGGAAAGCTTAGAAACTTCTGTGAATTTCTTCCTGCGGGACGTACAGGAGATGCATTATCGGTCCCATTTTCGGCATATTCGATTGACCTGCACAGGGAAGGATTTATAATATAATACAATACCATCATCCCCCACCCACCCCCATGCTATACACACACACACAGAGACACACTCACACACATTTTGGAAGGGACACGGGGTCGGTTGTTCCTATAACTGTGAATTGTGGCCTGTCTAGTTAACAACTGAGTGGAGTCTTCTTTCTAGAATGGAAGGAATGGAAACAAGACCGGTTGGGAGGAAAAAGACAATGTTGTGTCCTTTGTTCCCATAGTATCCTGCACCAGCAAGGTTGCACTGGATGTTTGGGGTGGTATTGTTTGTAAAATCCTGTTACAACCACAGGATCAACATTGGACCACCCTGATACCAAAGAGACAGTGCAGGGTAAGTGTGATGAAAGGCAGCAAAGGAATTTTACAGCTGCAAAAAATCTGTTCAGATGTACATATAGCTCTTTCTACTTGTAACAGTGAATAATAGGGACACATCCCCTCCCAGTTAATTGATTATAGTAATTAACTACCAGCCAGTTATCGGAGAAATGTACCGGTGCTACAGTACTGACATTCACAATGAACTGTGAATCTTCAGGCTCAATATTAAATATGGATGGAGACCTAACTCTCCTAGAAAACCACATATCTATCCTTGTTTGAAAATTGGTCCCTGGAGAGGGCAGAAATGTAGATGGCTATGATGGGTAGTTGGTATAAATACTTCTATGAAACAGCCATCGGTGGGGATAAATGGAAAGGCAGACAGATGGATTAGCAGACGGTTTGCTCATGATATGAGGATAAATGAGATTAAAGAGCAGCTCATCAAGGGGACTCTTTATTATAATGAGCAGGGACGGGTGGACACTGTCACTTTATTTTTTTTCCAGCCTTTCTAAGTGTCATTTGCCAAATCTATTTTTCAAAAGCAATCGGGATTTTGAAAGGTCTTGGTGTTCACAAGTGTACAAAACACCAAAAATTCATGAGAGTTGGAAAAAAAAATTCAGAAAGGGGGCCCCCTTCTTATTTCTTGATGAATTCTTCTCCTCTTGATTTCTCTCGTCTGGCCACCCACTCTGTTCCCCAAGAGTACAGTCTGTTTATCCAGCTGCCCCAAGCCTCCCTTCCATTTCTGACCTGTTTCCATCACCTGCAGCCTCATTACACTTTACAACCTGCCACTTAGAATCCTCACAATCCTCCTTTTTTTATTTTCTGCACCTGCCTTAGGTTAGGGGAAATGATATGCAGAGAAAGCAGAAAGGAGGCACTAGAGGGTTGCTCAATTACACCAAGATGACATGTGAACACAGACCATACCTGAAAACTAGGAATGAATCTGAACAAACCAAAGCTGAGTCTAAGAACAACATAGAACAATTCAGTCAAAGTTCAGTTCTTTATTTGCTTACACATAATAGACAGAATCTTGTCAGACTAAACCCTTACAACCCTTATCCTAATGGATCTGCCTTGGGAGATTTTAGGGAATAGCTATCCTAAATTCTCTCTGTCTCTGTCTCTCTGTCTCTCTCTCTGTCTCTCTGTCTCTCTCTCTCTCTCCCCCCCCCCCCCCAATCCATCTCTAGGCTGTTCTGTCTCTTGTCTAATCCCCCTTTGTGGAATGTGCTCCCTTCTTCCTGGGAAACTGCCATTTCATTGTAGTTCATTGCACCAGCAACTCTTCTGTAGCACCATCTCTCACAGAACCACATAATATTATAATCCTGTGACTCCCACCATCTTAGCCTATTGTTGCCTTTACACTTAAACATGAAATTTGTCTGCTTTTTCTCCTTTCTGCATAATGTCTTCTATTAAAGAGCACATGATTCTTTTCTATTCTATATATCTGTCCCCATCCATTTTGGGGAAAGGGCTGGTTGGAATGTTAATTAATTACCACTAGTAATTGTGGTAAGTATGCATACAATTCATTTTTGTGGATTTGCAAGGCAGTGCTACCAACGGTGGTGTAATAATATCTGCGTTAGCACCCGCAGTAGTAGTTTTAATCATATTGCAGTTAAAAAAAAGAAAGAAAAAGGAGGTGCCATATCTGTTTTGTCTTTGTGATGAATGGTATTTAATAATACTGTCATAGAATTAGAGATCACAAAATGAAACACATTAGAATATGTCATGGAAAGAAATACTAGATACATTCTGTGCTGAGAAATTAGATATGATTGATGGCAAATATATTATAGTTCAGCTCATCCATTGCCTGCCTCTTTTGGCTTTCTCCTTGAACTAACTATCTGGTTTCTAGCAAGCTGCTCTCTTGTGTTAAAAGAGGAGCAATGTTGCCTTGCTCTAATTGTCAAGCCCCATCACACTTCACAAGATTAGAATTTCTTCTGGAACTGATTAACATGGTGCTTTAATATGGCAGATACTGTATATAAAACATGCACAGAAAGATTGTATAGAGTAGACCATCTTGGTTCCTCCCCCTACAGGAGTCTTTGAGAGCATTGCCAATCACTTTTCTTATGTGCCTGTTTCTTTCATTTCCAGCATCACAGAAAAACAGTGTTTTTTTTTTTGTTTTGTTTTGCTTATCCATTTAGCATCTCACTCATAACATCTGTACAGTGAAACATAAATCCTCACAATCCCCCTTAACCTGCTGCCTATGGCATTATAGTCAGTTTGGGATTTATGCTGCTTTTCTCGTGTGTGTGTGTGTGTGTGTGTTTGTGTCCACGCGTGCACACACACACACACACACACACACACACACACACATCCCTTGAGAATTCTAGAATTCAAAATCATATTCTGTAAGATTAGTGGTTATAACAAAATGGTTGAAGAAAACTCAGGGGAGTTGCATTTTTGCAAGATTTGCTTCACAGGACAAAAAAGTGTTTTGTGGCAGACAAAGCGGGGAGGGGGGGAAATACAGCAGCGCAGTGAATCCAACTAAGGTTGCATCCCAAGTGCTCATTCCCAGGGGAGAAAAACTCCCTTGGATGCAGTGGAACTCACTTCCAAGCAAACAAGCATAGGCTTGCACTGAACAGCTGCATTCCTACACAGGAATGGCCTGGGGCGAGAAAAGGATAACAAGCAGGGGCATCTGTGTGAAAGCCTCGCTAGAAAGGATTATACACTGCAGAGTTGTTGTAACGGGAAAGGGGATTACAATCAAGTGCAGCTGCCATTAAGAGAATCTGGGTCAGGCATAGGGAGAGATACGCAGCGGGATTGGAGGCAGGGTATTTGCCAGGGTGTCCAAATGACACACTGTTAAATATTACAGTGAGTGTGGAACTAACATTAGACTATTCCAAGCAACCAAGATTCACCCTCCTCTCTCATTTCTCCTACCAGCCAAATGGTGCTGACTTTTAACATCTTTGGGGGAAAGGGGGATAACATAGGGTGGCACTGTTCAAATTCAGTGCCACATGGGCAGAAAGGAGGAACAGAATATTCTTTATTGGCCAAGTGTGATCGGACACACAAGGAGTTTGTCTCTGGTGCATAAATTCTCAGTGTGCATGCAAACAACAAAGCGATATAATCATAAGCTACCAATAAGAGAAGGTAATAAGAAAGATGAGAAGGATAATAGTAGTAGAGCCCTACTACGTGGGTAAATATCCTTAGGCATAAGACAGTGCTGTGGGTGTTAGGTTGTCCATGGAAGGAATGGCTCCATCAGAGTCATCTCTTCTCTCTGCCGTTCCAGTTTTCCATAGCTCCAATTAGAAAGCAGGAAACAGCATGAAGAAGCCCCAACCAGGCTTCATTGAACTAAGCGTTAAGCAGGGATAAAAGCAACCTTCTCCCACACACTTCTAGGCAGAAACGGGTCTGAATAGCTCAGCAGAATAATACTGACATGATTGTTTGGAGAAAACAATAGAGTTACAAACTGAATCATGCCTTTTCCAATCAGAAAATCAATCCCTCTCTTTCTTTCTCTCCCTCTCTGTCTCTCATTCCAGGAGAGCAGATTTTCATTATTTGGGTGTTTGGCATATATAGCAAAGACTAAACAAAAACTCTAGACCATGTTTTTGTAAATGATTTTTATTTTATTTTTTTACAAAAGAGCATCCCCTCCTTTTCCCTGTCTTTCCTCACTCCCAGAGGCTCTTCTTTGCTCTCTGGGATAGCAGCACAGAAAGAGAAGGGGGGAGGGAGGGAGGGAGGAAAAGAGAGAGAGAGAGAGAGAGAGAGAGAGAGAGAGAGAGAGAGAGAGAAATCTGATTTTAACATTAATCAACATGATTTTGTTCCCTTGATGTGTAGAGGCGTTGCCATTTCATCCTGCATGCCTTGCATAATGATACCATCTCAGCCACTCCATGATGCTTGATGATGGAATCAGCCACATCATTAATGTGAAAGGAAGAAGCAGGGAAGGAAAACAAAGGCCCTGGAAAATGGAACAAGAGAAGTCACATGTACCAAAATGTAATACTTACCCCCAATGAAATAATCTGCTTCAATCCCCCCAAAACTAACAATTTGCTGAATAGATGACATGGTTAAATTTGACGAAGAGGGTTCATCTTAGTACAGAATTAGAATGTTTGCAGACACCATGCAAAGGATATTTACGCTTGTTTCTAAAGTAATGCAAGAAAGCAATCTATGCTTTTTCTACATGAAATATTTTTAAAATGAGTGCAAATGATTATTATATACAGTACAAGAACCCAAACACTGCTGTTAAAAGAAAGAAGGGCATCTCTTATTTTAGACTACTACATTCTGCAGAAATATGAAAGTCCAGTCCTGAGTAGATTTTTCTAAGTTACACTTGGCTGGAATCCATCCCTGGAGCATTAATAAGTGTGCGGCTTATGCATCATCACCTGTCATAAGATGCTTTCTCATGTGACCCACATGAAGCAAGTAAGTCCAAGCACCAGTAGATGGTGCTCCAGAATGTGTAGTGGAATTTCTTCAGTGAGTAGCCAACCAAACTATTGTTTGGAACTGCAGGTTGAGGAAAAGGAGATACTGGCAACCATAGATGACAGACTGCCATGGCAATCTGCAATAGTCTCACAAAACAATCTTCTAGCCCCACCACAAATTTCAACACTCAATGGAAAAAGATTTGGTTTTCCAAAACATGATCTCCTCTCCTGATTTTTCTTTATTAAATGTAAGTGCATCGTGAACTTACACTGGCTGAACAGATAACAAAACACTGAATTGCTTCAGTCTTTTCCATATCATTATACATATTGCATTACATGAATTGATTCCGTGGGGAATTCTGAACATCAGTCTACCCCAATCATCATTGCATTTTGCTTATAATGCTTACAATCCAACCCAAATTAAGTAATTAGAAATCATAGGTTTTTAAAGGGCAGCTAACTAACTAGGGAGGAACAAATCTTTCTAGCTTGCTCTGTTGCTGTTTATGGGTAGTTTATCCCTTCCACCCATTTCCACAAAGGAATCCATTAAGGAAGGGGAAAAAATGAAAAAGCAAAGCAGTATTTTTTAAAAAATTTATTTGGGAGCGCCAGGAACCATCTGTTTGAAGTATCCTATAAATATATGATGTTTTCAGATACAAAGCCTGCCTTTAAGATTTAACGTTTTAAAACCTATTATAAACAAGTCAGATTTTCAGATCTGTAATCAAGGCATAAAGGCAGATATTCCACTGTTCTTTATATGAAGTCTCCATTTTATGTTTAGCTGCTAAATGTTTTTTTTTTTTTTAATGAAATGGAATTGGGGTCAAAACTTTTCCCATGGAAACAGAGAAAGGCAGGCCTTGAGCTGTATTTTTATGGCCATATGACTTGACAGCAGGGATGAAATCCAGCAGGTTCTGACAGGTTCTGGAGAACCGGTAGCGGAAATTTTGAGTAGTTTGGAGAACTGGCAAATACTACCTCTGGCTGGCCCCAGAGTGGGGTGGGAATGGAGATTTTGCAATATCCTTCCCCCAGGAGTGGGGCGGGAATGGAAATTTTGCAGTATCCTTCCCCTGGAGTGGGGTGGAAATGGGGATTTTGCAGTATCCTTTCCCTGCCACGCCCACCAAGCCACGCCCACAGAACCGGTAGGGGAAAATTTTAGATTTCACCCCTGCTTGACAGCTATGTCTAGATCAGAGGAAGCTGGCTTTGTAGACTAGAGATGTTGCTATAGCACCAAGTTTATCTGCTTCCCGTCATACCTTTCTTTCTATCTTCTGCATTTACAACTGCTCCATAACTTGATGTACAGTATCAGTTGTCTTCTTGGTCTGACTTGTATTTATTTAATGAACAGATGTCTTCCTACAAAGATTCATAAGTGAGGCTCACATTTGCCTTTAATGAACCAATGAAGGAGGAGGGAGAAGGGGAAAGGGAAGGGTAGGGTAGGGTAGGGGAAAGAAAGGAAAGGAAAGGAAAGGAAAGGAAAGGAAAGGAAAGGAAAGGGGGAAGGGAAGGGAAGGGAAGGGAAGGGAAGGGACAGACTTTGCAAATAGTTTTTATTGAAGATAAAGTAATTAGGAGCTCAGAAATGTAACAGAATCTTTACTGCAGATCAGTGAGTGTCTATTAGGAACAGATGGGTGTGATCTGACCAAGCCTAACTAACTGCTGGTTCTGGTTTTCATTCCTTCTGCTGTTGTTATAACTTGGACAAGGATGGAGGAACATCAAAGTTGGTTGTGGTTTTATTCCATGAGTGGAGAGTAAGAATAATAATACTGAATATATAGAAAAAGATAAGGTTCTGAATCTGCTGTGTCATAGTTTTGAACAGTGTTTGTTTGTTTGTTTGTTTGTTTGTTTGTTTAACAAATTTATATAACCACCAACTCACACATAGATGACTCCAGGTAGCTTACAAAAGTTAACCTGGAAGATAGTTTCTAGACTGGATTCACGGTAATTTCTGAAGAGCTGTTTGGGTGACTTAATGGATGATACTGGAGTGCTCATGTCCCTTGGTGTCATTGCCAAGGAAGAAAATGAGAATAAAATCAGAATCAGTTGGCCCTCTTACTATTAACTATTTGATATTTGATGAACTGCCTCACCCCAATTACATCTACCTTTCCCATCAGATCTGGCAGAAAGGGTATATTGCAGGTCCCATCTATAAATAAATATCATCTGGTAGGACTCAAGAGGTGAACCTTTTCTGCCAGAGCTCCTGCCATCAGGCCTCCTGAGGTGAGATCAGACCCAACCATGTTGGCCTTCAAGAAGAGCCTGAAGACATTATTTGCCATTGGGTCCAGGATCCTGATCATATTGGTGGAAGCCTGTTAAAATTAATAGTGCTCTCTTGTAGATTTTAATGGTTTAATAATGTTATTGTTTTTAACATTTTTGTGTATGTGTCTAGTATTGCTTTTTTATTTTTTACTCCTTAAGTCATCCAGAGTTGCAGCACTGAGATGCCTGGCTATATACAATAGATAGATAGATAGATAGATAGATAGATAGATAGATAGATAGATAGATAGAGGGGTGGGTTCCAAATCCCGTCACTACTGGTTTGCTTGAGCACACATGTGCACATGCATCACTTCTGCACATGTGCAGAAGCGTCAGGGCGGGTGGGCGGAGCCTCCTGCCACTGCCACTATCAGTTCACCCGATTCAGTGTGAACCAGTAGCAACCCACCACTGGATGGATGGATGGATGGATGGATGGAAAGATAGATAGATAGATAGATAGATAGATAGATAGATAGATAGATAGATAGATATAAGGATAGATAAAGATACACACACACACACACACACACACACACACACACAGTATACATACTATATTTTTGTTATCCTATCAGCCCCTATACAATACAAATTTAAAACGTTGAAATAAATTTGCTGCCTAGCCTTGGAAAATTCCCTTTTTTCCCTTTTCTGTAGTTCAGTCCTTTCAAAGCAGAATTTACAAATCCACATGTCATAAAGTTACTGAGGTTGAGAAACATTGCTGTAAACCAATGCAAACTATATTTTTAAAAAAGATCTTAGAATACTTTGTGGCCTCAAATAATCCTGAGTTTTCTGACTGCTCAGAGACGATAATTAAACTATGAGCCTAAGAGGCAGTGGATAAAACCTGGATTTTCTATGTTTGGGACGAATTTGTTGTTGTTATTTTCTGTTTAACATTCCATTTTCTTCCTCTCCTTCCTGTATACTATTTTGAGTGCTTCTGCTGATAGCAGCTTCCTGCATTCCTGAAGTAAAAAAAAATTACCATTTAAAGCACTAACATTTCCAGCAAAACAATTTGTTCAGTATTTTGCCAGTGGTGAAATTTTCAACAATTGCTTCAAAGCTGATCTATCAGGCTAATTCCTGTATTGGAAATAAACTTACTCTTTCTCTGTGGTAAAGAATGATATGACTTAATTTATCTCACTCTTATAGATATAAGCAGTTGTTATAAAAAGAAACATTTCTGCCAGATTTGGGAAGCCATTTATTTTCACTGATTTTATAATTTTTGGAGTTGCAAAAAGTAGTTTGAAGACTGATTGAAGGTCTTGGGGCTTCAATTTACCTATCCCTAACTGAGGCTGAATTACAGCTGTACTAATGGATAAAGTGAGAATGGGTATCTCTGTTGGTCTGTCCTAGTAATTTGGAATGAGGCGGAGCTAAAGTTGATTTATCCTATAGCAGGGCCTTTCAGGGAGGCAAAGCGGATCAATAGTAAGAGACAATCCACTGGCCATTTCAGAGGGGCAATACTAAGTTTACCCTAAAATTAAAAAAAACAGCAATAACATTAGGGTCTCTCTAATCTGTACATGGCAACCAAAGGAGACAAGCGAGCAAGTACTAAGCTATGTGATAAGGAAACAAACTCCAAGAGGTCCAAGGATTCAGACATGAAGTAGTCTAGAAATCAAGAGGTGAGCAATTAGGATGCAAATCATAGAATTGTCAGTGGGGACCTGCTGCATGCTGAAGGATTTTATGCATCTGTCTTCTTCGATCTAGTTTTCTTGGCATCATTGAGACTGAGCATCTCACTATCTTCTCCAGGAAGACTTTTGGTAAGTTGAGCAATCATATCAGTGCAGAGAGATTTACAGAGCAGTTTATAGATATTTGTTTTAAGTTTTTCAATCTGGTCACCTGCCTGCTTCCTACCTTAGAACTCAGTCTATGCCCCACTAGATCTAACTAACTTCATCCTTGATTCAGCAAGGCCAGATTCAAAAGCCAGCCCATAGCAGTTAGTCTGGATATAACTGCATATTGCATCTGAAAGAAAAAGTTGATATAGAGTTGAGGTGTTAGACTAGGACCAGGTCCACATTCATAGTCAGCCATGAAGACCATCAGACCCAACACTATCTCTCAACCTAATCTAACTCACAAGATTGCTGTACAAATGTAATTGAGGGAAGGGGAGAATTAGGTTTGAATTGAGGACCCA